ACAGGGCATCAGTGGAGGAAGTCTGTAGGACTGGTACGTGGTCTTCGTTATCCACATTAGGCATTACAAGATATGTATGACTCTGCTGATGCAGCATTCAGACGGAGAGTGCTGCAGTCTGTTCTGACTCTTGATGACGACCACCCTCCCAAAAATTAGGGACACTGCTCTGGGAGGTCCCACAAGATGTCCTCCACTGCAGAGAGAGAACGACCATTGGTTACTCACCGTGAAGGGTCCTTCTCCTCTGAGGCTTGGAGGACATCTTGGCCCTCCCGGGTCGTCATTTCCTCTATCTACTATGCTGTTCTTTCACACTCTATTTAAAAATAATAATAAGATTACATGAGGGAGAGGACTCACCTTTTTCTTCCTGTTCCAATGTTTGTGATTTGGCTATACTCTTGTTGTTGATGTTCAAGTTCTCTTTTACAGTGGTTAAGTTAGTGTATTGCTTTTGGAGCACCAGAACTGAGCCTAGGGTGACTCCCACTACAGGAAACAGGAAGTAATTGAAATTAGTCCTGCCTCCCTAAGTGATGGTTGGGAATCACCCACAAGATGTTCTCCAAGCCTCAGAGGAGAAGGACCCTTCACGGTGAGTAACCAATGGTCGTTCTCCAGCTCAACAAGGTGGAGAATCCATGCTCTAGCACAGTGGTACTCACGCTGTGGCTTGCAGAGAGCCACATTCCCAGTTGCCATCAGCCAAAAGAACCACACTTACTTCCAACCCCAAGATGAGGCCTACGCTTCAGGGAGTTCTTGCAGCTTACCTATTCCTCTGGTGGTGGCTGTTCCAAGGTGGGGACCACCTGCCAACCGCAAGCCCCTCCAGGCAAGGTTTTGCCAACTTTCCTGAAATGGGACAGGTGTCACATTGGGGAACAGTGCTCAGAAGAACCACGTGTGTATTACTGAGTATTACTGCTGTAGCAGCTTCGAGATGCTGGAACTGAGATTCATAAAGAGCGTGTGGTGATGAGGTGGCCTTGGTTCTTTTCTTTACCAGCTGTGGGTAGTACTTTACTGTCTTTTCTGTCTCCCGTCCCCCACCAGTCTATATGACCTCAACTTGGAGAAAAATGAGGAACAACGCAGAGCTGTCTATCAGGTGGTGGCAGGCACCTCCAGACCAGCCCCTTACCTCATATTTGGACCTCCAGGTACTGGCAAGACAGTCACTATGGTAGAGGCCATCAAACAGGTGAGGAGTGCACTTATTCAGTATGATTTTGTAACATGATACATCAAGATGGGTAGCCATGTTAGTCTGTCTGTAGCAGTAGAAAAGACTAGGAGTTCAGTAGTACCTTAAAGACTAACAAAATTTGTGGTAAGGTATGAGATTTTGTGAGTCACTGCTCACTACTTCAGATACCTGCTAGAAAGCTCATACCCTGCCACAAATTTTGTTCATCTTTAAGGCACTACTGGACTCTTACTCTTTTCTACTGTCACATGATACAGTGTGGTTTCTATTGTATATAAGTGCAAATGTATTTTCATATTATATGATGTATGTAGATTTTACTTTCAGCTATAAGTTCCTTTGAATAAAAGTTAATTATCTATTGTTTAATAAAGCTAGGAAAATTCACGTGTCTTTATCATTCCTGCACACACTCTTCAACAGTTTAGATGAGATTTTGGAATGCCATAAAGTGTAAACTGGAATACATTCATTCATAATTGTTCTGACAGTTAACCAAAGAGGCTCTTTTGAACTAGTTTACTATTACCCTGTACCTCATAATGGGTATTTGACCACTAAGCTGTAAAAAAGTGGTGTTTTCATAAAAAGCTGAATTGTCCTGAATCCCTAATGAGGAAAGCTATGTTTTACAAAAAACAGATCTTTTATAGTTTAAAATGATGCATAATCTCATGTCTTTTGATGCCTACATCTCAAGTAAAAATACATTGCTAGGCAGAAGACATGAGAATTTTTAAAATAAAAATTCCTTTTTCTTTGTTTTGTTTGTTAAAGTACTATAAATGCATCCCTTTTGGGGAGCTCAGTGAGAAATCTGCTAGGCAGTTCTCAGAGAGTAAATCCTGCAGTGCTGCAGGGTGGGTGAGAAGGTTTCTTGTAACATTGGAACTGGGTTATTTCTTGTGGGACCTAAACTGGAAATATTAGAATGACTAGCTACATCCAGCTGCTCATATCCGTGTGACCATGTAATAAATACTTTTATAATCTCTTGCTTAGTTAAAAAGAAGTAGAAATCTAGTTTAATGAAGTATTAAAATGCTGGAAGCCCTGTGTGTTCTTTGATTAAGGAGAATTGCCAAATCAGAATCCCTATTCTTTAAATTTTTGGTTTTATATCAGAATACTGTGCTGAGGAAACGTAGCCTCTGCAACAGCAGGGGCTAATTAAACTCAGGCCTGTGACCAAAATGCTAATTGACCTATATTGGGTCAAAGAGGCTTTTAAGTTTCCTAGTGACTTATTATAGAGTAATTTTCAATGTGGTGTGTAGTCATTTGGCCATGACAATTTGATTAGCTACAAAAGTATCATAGTTTGGGGAAGGGAAGTGATCTTGCTTGATTGGTGTGTTCGCAAGACTGAGCGTGAATATTTTCCTAATACAGGAGTCTTGCAGAGACACTAAATCCAGTTTTGCATCCTCTCTAGCATGCTTCCACTCTCATGGTGCCCTTTGAACAATCTCATACCTCCATTCCTATATGCCCGGCAGTGTGACCTTACCTGGCTGATCAAGAATGTCCAGTTTAATTCCTATCTTAACAGGTACTGCGCTGCATTGAAGGTTCCCATGTACTTGCCTGTGCCCCTTCCAATAGTGCCTCTGACTTGCTGTGCCAACATCTCGTGAAACATGTGGAAAAAAGGAACATCTATAGGATAAATGCTTACAGCAGGGATTATCGCCTGATACCTGAAGATATCAAGGTGTGTAGTAGCTTCATTTCTCCAGTCAGGCATTTCAGTGCAGACTAGTATTCTCTATTTTGGTTTGTTAGGATGATAGCAGCCCACCACCTGTGTTAAGATAGGGCACTGAAAGAATTGTCAAGTAATGGAGCCTCAGTCCCAACAGTGCCTAAAATATGTATGTTTTTGCTTCTAGCCTTATTGTAACTGGGATAATGAGGAGAAATGCCCTGTCTTTCTCAGCAAGGAGACACTGAAAAGCTACCGGGTCATCGTCACTACCCTGATAACAGCAGGAAGGTAAAGAGGATTAGGTGCCATGCAAAAATGAGAAACTAGGATGCATGGGGAATGAATAGAGGTGTATTTATCGATGTATGTTTTGCATAGGGTGGTATTTTACACTACTCAAATGGAAAAAAATTGATTCTGTTACAATTTTTAATAAGATTTTTTGAAATGTACATATGGATCTCCCTGCACTCCTTATTGCAAGGGAAAACTTCTTTATTAGCTATATATGTAAGGGCAGAATATTTTTGTGATCAGGGGATTTTCATCTCTTATCAAAACACTCATTCTCCGTCCTCCCTTGCTTTTGTTTTCCTTAGTATGATCCATTGCGCAACTTATGTAAAAGTTATTATTTTATATTTAGAAATTGTCTCTACAGCCTCTGTGGGGACTCTGGCTTATATAAAACATAATAAAAACTTAAACCACCATAAAAGTTATTAAGAATTGAAACCTAGCATTAAAAACCCATCTAGAGTATAAAAATAGCATAAAGCTCTGAGCACCTTAAAATGAATGTCATCAGGCTGTTCTCAGGACTGGCTGAGAAGCTGCATGTTCATGCTCATTTCTGTCTCTTTCTGCTGGCTAGATTAGTTTCTGCTGACTTCCCTCGGGGGCATTTTTCTCATGTCTTCATTGATGAGAGTGGCCATGCTGTGGAGCCAGAGAGCCTGGTTGCCATTGCAGGTAAATGATAGCCTTCTTGTATTCCTCTGCACCCTTTTTATGTCTTGAAAATTAACCACATTTTTATGGGGAGGGTTTTTTTAAAAAATGTGTTTGGAAACTGAACAAAATGCAAACTGGGGAAGAAGGTTGGTTCACCTTGTGGGTTAGCCATAGATAGGCATTGTGGGTTTAGACCACTGTACCCTCTAAGCTGAGTTAGTGTGAGCTAGCTCACATTTTTTTAGCCTCTGGCTCACACATTTTTGTCTTAGCTCAGGAAGGATGGCTCCAGAGCAGACTAATTTATGCAGTAGCCAAATTGCTTGCTCACAACTTTAATGCCAGGAGCTCACAATGTAGAATTTTTGCTCACAAGACTCCACTGCTTAGAGGGAACGTTGGTTTAGACCTGTCATCCTCTACATTCTCGCCTCCTGCCTGCTGCTTTGTTTCCAGGTGTCTTGGTATTTTAGTCAGGAAGGGCCAGAAGACGCTGAATTGATTGTTTGGTTTGTTCGTTGTTTTGCTGGAAAATCGCTTCCTTGTGTCCTGAAACAGCATTTGGATTATCCTGCTTGTTTATTTTATTTGCTTCCATTGGCAAATCTTGGGCTGTTCTCCCAAAGGCACATTATTGGTTTTGCCACTTTTCATTGGGGTGAAAGGTTACTGTTGCACTTCACTCAGCTCTACCAAATAGGCCTCATAGTAGGTTGTTTTTATAGAACTCTTAAGGAAAGCAAGACCAACCACCACATCAGGCAACATTTACAAACCAAACTAATTTATTAAGCACAATAGCATGCTGCATTAGCAATAACAAATAACTCAGTAAAAGTATACAAAACATGTATTAGTTTACCCGTGGGAATTAAAGGAACCACCTAAAGCCACAGGGTTACCAGTTGGTCACTTCAGAGGCTGAGAGCATGCCTGGTCTTCTCAGGGATAGCAAGGAGCAAGCTATTGCCCGTGGTTGTGCTTAGCTTTGCTCTGTTGTGGATTGAGAGCATAGAAATGGGTTTGGTTTCTTGGGATGGTGTCTTCCCTCTGTGCTTGTCTGTCCTTGGGTTGCCCAGGGCTCCCACTGGCTAGACGATTCACTTTAAGATAAATGTTTCTATTTCTTTCAGTGGGGGAGGTAAAAAGTTTAGCTATACTTTCTCCTTGTAACTGCTCTTCCACATGTGTTCTGACCACATCTTGTCTAATGTAAGCATAATTTTATGTGTACTTGTGAAGAAAAGGCTTCAGCAAAAATTAGCAGCCCCTCATCAATTCTGTTTCACCTTCTTCCAGACTATCTTTGAATGTTGCTTTTGACAGAAGTTTATATTCTAAACTACTTTACCCAAGCCGTTTCCCAGCTTTCCAGGCATATGTACTGGTGGTGTTCCTAAACACTTTGGCCAATTTAATCACATCTTCCCTTTTCTCTTGCTTCCAGTTACTTACCAGAGGATCTTAACCACAGCTTAGCATATTCTCCTATTTTGATGCATGAGCTCCTTTACAATTGGAAGCTTCCTTTTTCTCAGCTGCAGCCTCTGAGACTTTTTCAATTTATTAGCCAAGTTCTGATTGGGGTCTGGGGTGGGGATTCTTGGATTCTGAATTCATGGGCTCACCTGTTATAGTATCAGATCAGTCCTCCCACTTGCTCTGTGGGCAGGACTGTGCTAAAGAATCTTGCTGAGTCCTTTTATTACCAGCGGGAGAAGGATCTCAGTACATGCCCTGAGTGCTCTGTTCTTCTCGCTCTCCATTGTTTCCCCTGGAACCAACAACCATGCAGCTTGAGCACACCTTTTTCCTGTCTAGGTCTCCTAGCCATGATGGACCCAAAGACAAATCCCAAAGGAGGACAGCTTGTTTTGGCAGGGGACCCTCAGCAACTGGGACCCATCCTGAGGTCTCCTCTGGCTATTGACCATGGCTTAGGTGAGTGTGAAACAAGTGGCAATGCCTTTTAGAACTTACTCCTTCTGTGCCAGTGTTTTGTGCAACAGCAGATTATCTGTCTGCCTCCAAGGGGAGTACAAAGTAAATGGACTCCAGAACCATTCATTTGTGCTCAATTGAATAGGCAAGTATTTGTGTGAGAACTATAATAATCATGGGTGCCATAGTATAAATAATGGCCTCCTTTGAGGATTTTTCACTATCCACCAGCCACTGGCAAGAAGCTCTTTATAACTCGTCAGCTGCTCAGTTCTGTGTGATAAGCTGGTTCTATGAGGCTGTGCCCATGTGGCTTGGAGAGATATTAGCCATGGAAGAAAGATACCCCCCACCCTGCTGCTGGGGGTGGGGTAAAATCAGCCCAAAATAAATGAATGTGCTCACACATGCCTTATGAATCGAGGTGGCATCCACAGTGTTTACATCCTTGGCAGCTGCCAGACTTCACTCTGCCCACGCTTTTGTACTTTGTGCTGCTCTGAGAGAGACTTGAGGGGAAAGAAGAGTTTGGAGGGAACACAGCACTGAGATACATTTATGCTGTTGTAGAACTTTCCCTGTTGGAGCGACTGATGAATCACAATCCGCTGTATCAAAAGAAGGATGGGAGTTACAACCCACAGTTTGTGACTAAACTGCTGCAAAACTACAGGTACATCTCCTGCTCTGCCTCTGAGTTCCAGCAGATGGAGCATAAGAGCTCTGTCTTGTGTGTATCTGGCTGCCTGTCTAATAGAAGGCAGGTTTCAATCTGCCAATAACCCATAAAGTATCATGGATGGAATGAGTGTGGTTCCTGGGTTCTACCCTCCTAGTAGAGATATTAGCCTACAGTCCCTAAACCAGGCCAGTTTCCTAAAGATTGCAAATGAACCCATGTTTGTGGGGCCCCAGACACTGGATGAATTATGCTGAAACATTGCTATTTGCTATTCACAGTTAAACTTTATATTCTCCCTTACTTTGCTTGGCTGTATTTAACTGCTTTCACTTTTGGGGGGATGGGGGAGGGAAGTGCCAAAAGGAACAGAATACAGTGAGGTAGAGCAGAGTTTGTTCCCCTCACCCAAAAAATCATTTTAAAAAAACAAACAAACCTAGTTCACAGATATATATACCCATATACTGTAAGGGGGCATCATGTAGTAGATCACATCTAGTTTAGCATTTAACACTGAGGCAAAATGTACCTTTGTCTGTTGGAAGTAAGAGATACCAAATGAATGAACTGGCCCAGTACAAGGGATTGATTAAGGGGGAGAAACTTGACTATTTCATCATGGAAGGGTCTCATTCCGTTATTGTTGTCAAAGAATTGTAGCATCTTTATGCATTTGCAAACGGGTGCTTGCAGATGTTTCCAGCTTTCATTTATGTCAACTGAGACTTTGTAAAAGTTGTAGCTTTGAAGTTCCTATTTACATTATCTTCACACCTTCAGATTTCAGTTATTGCCAAAGGCAGCCTTTTGACACAGGAACCCCCAAAGTTTGAAAGCCATTTTGAGCACATGCTATGACTAGGGAGTAAGGAGAGAAATGTTTTCTTGGGCATTGCCATGTTTCTTTTCTCAACCATCTGGCATTATCAAAGCACACAGATGTGTGCAGTATTTGTCTTAATCTTCCTCACATTAGCCTTGTGAAGCAGGCCAGTATTTTTGCAGCTTCTCAGATGGAGAATTGAGACAGAGAGTGCTTTGACCACTTAGTAAGTTTTATTGTGGTGCAAGCCTTCACAACCCCAGAAGAGAAAAGAGGCACGGTGTTCTCCTCAGTCTCAGGCGGTTCATGCAGACAGTGTTGGTTTGTGTGCTGAGGCCCATTCTCCCACCCAAGGTCTCATGCTGCGATCTTGAAGTTTCCCAATGAGAAGTTCTACGAGGGGGAGCTGCAGGTCCATGCCAACCCTGCCATCACACATTCCTACTGCTCCTGGAGTGAACTGGCGAAGCAGGTGAGAAGCCACCAAGCCATCATTGAGTCACTTTGTCACCCGATGTGACCACTTTCAGACAACTGAGGTGGTATCTGTCACTCTTGCAGGGGTTTCCCATAATCTTTCATGGAGTCTGTGGAAAAGACGAGCGGGAAGAAAAGAGCCCTTCGTTTTTCAACACAACTGAGATTGATGTGGTGATAGACTATCTCAGAAAACTGCTTCTGGAGCAGCAGGGCAAAAAAGGCTTGTCCCGCATATCACCCAAAGAGATTGGCATCATCTCGCCATACAGAAAGCAGGTGATGTTATCTACTGGTTCCTACTTATTGAATAAGACTTGCTGCTGGGAGCAGGGGAGATTTCGGGCAGCCCTTAATGGTCAAATGTCTTTGATGTGACCTGAGCTGTTCTTGGCTATGATTATGCCAGAGATGTAAGTGTAACCTGTGACATGGGCCATCCACAGAGGTGGTTTCTGTATCCCAGTGGTTATTTCTGAGAGTGCAACACCACAGTTTTCAGGTGCTGTATGCTCTGGCAGTGGTCTGTTGCCTTTAAGCCCTCTCCATCGTCAAGGTTTCTGAGCCCCTTGCTAGTCCTTCCTGTACCATTCCTGTCCTCTCCGTTAGGAACAGCCATTATCCCCATTTAATGGACCAAAAGAATTCTTCCACAAGCTGTGCTAGCCAGGAACTATGGGGGAGTTTGGGGGTGAATAAATTATTAATTTTGCATTTTACTGTAGGTGGAAAAAATAAGAAAAGCCATTGATATATCAAAGTTAAAGGCCATGTCAGATATCAAGGATCTAAAGGTGAGACCTTTTTGTGTTTTAAGGAGATTAAGACTTCGAAGGACAGCCATGAAGGAAAAATTCGAAGGGCAGCCAAGAAAAGATTCTTAAGTGTTAGGGGTGTGTCAAGATTAAGTTAATTCATGTGATTATATTCCCCATTACTACGTATGGGTGTGAAAGCTGGACAGTGAAGACAGCTGTCAGGGAGAACATTGATTAATTTAAACGTGGTGTTGCAGGAGAGTTTTATGGATACTGTGGACCACCAAAAAGACAAAAAAATAAGTTCTAGACCAAATTAAGCCTGAACTGTCCCTAGAAGCTAAAATGACTAAACTGAGGTTACTGTGCTAAGCTAGACAGTGTCGTCCTAAGCAGGCAGACATACAAAAGGAGACACTTCTTCACACAGAGGGTAATTAAAATGGGCTGCTTGAAGATGAAGTGATGGCCACGGGAATAAACAGTTTTAAAGGGGGATTAGTGGAGGATAGGTCTCTCAGTGGCTACTAATGATGGTGACGGAGGGGAACCTCCACATTCAGAGGCAAATCCCAGAGCCAGAAGGCAACTTCAGGGATAGGTCTCAGCCTCTATGCCCTGTCGTTGGCCCTGCAGAGGAACTGGTTGGCCATTGTGTGAGACAGGATGCTGGACTAGATGGATGACTGGTCTGATCTGGCAGGGCTCTGCTTATGAGATGCCCTTCTCAGCCCATTGAATTCAGTGGGCTTAGAAGCATCTAGCTTTATTTCCATCTAATTTAGCACCCCTGTGGCTAGCTAGATGCTCCTGAAAAAGTTTTGTTTAGCCAGGAGTGACTAGGGGTGTATGTTCAGATCTACTCAAGCCAAAAATATACCGGAAAAATACCGTATTAATGTTTTTCGTGTATATTTTGGAATGCCAAAGGTATCTGGTTCTTTTTTAGGATACTGGAAAAAATTCCTGGAAAAACCCTAGATATAATTGGGAATTACTAGGTATATTTGAAAAACAGTGGAGAGGCGGGAGCAGTTTGCTTCTGCCTTTCAGCGGTTTGTCAGGCTTCTATTGCAGTCCCTTTAAAGGTTAAAGGGACTGCAGAAGACTGCAGAAGACAGCCCAAGGATCGGCTGTGCTGGCAGGGAGTAGATTGCTCCCCACTGGCTCTGCTTCAGTCTGGCTTCTTGTACAGCCTGATTTAACCCGGGCTGCACAAGAAGCCAACCCCAGGATCAGCTGTCCCCACAGGGAGCAGAGTATTCCCTGCTGGCACAGCTTCAGTTTCCATCTTTTTTTCCTTGTGTCTATTGGACCTGGAAAAATTTGGGATTTCCAAAAAATGTTTGTGTTCAGTAGTCTCACATGATAGAGATTACAGAAGTATATTTTTTCCACTTTAAAACTAATAACTATTTCAGGGAGTCTTGTTTCAATTAATGAAACCAACATTGTGAATCTATACAACAAATTTAGAGTCCAGTGGCGCCTTTAAGACCAACAAAGGTTTGTTCAAGGTATGAGCTTTTGTGTGCACGCGCACTTTATCAAATACATAGATGGGCAAAAAAAGGTTCAGGCTTATAGGCAGAGAATGAACAGCAAATTAACATGCAACATGGTGATGATCATTCTCTCCTGTCAGGCAGGGAGGGCAAGAGAGAATGAAGATTCCCAGTCACTTCCAACAATTAGAAAAGGCACCTTTAGACACTTCTCTGCTAGTTTGTCATATTGTTGGTCTTAAAGGTGCCATTGGACTCTAAAATTGTTGTACTGCTTCAGACCAACACGTTTGACCAACTGGATCTATTGTGAATCTATATCAGCCTACAAACGCTAAACTGAGCATGTATAGCTGCATTTTGGATTGGGGCCATGTAGGAAGTGAAGAGAGGATTTAAGTCCTTCAATCTGTTCTCATGTTTGCTGGTTGAAACTAGGCTTTCTATGCTACTGTTAGCCATCTAAAAGAGAAAAAAAATACATTTTTTCCCCTTTGAAACTATTATTGATGGTGCTGGTTTCAATGAGCAAAACCAAGCAGAACCTGAAAGAATAAGGCTCCAAATTATGGCTGCGTGTGTGAATAGTTTTTAACAGACTTTGATGTGTGGTAGCATAATTTTGTTCAAGTGCAAAGTCCCATGAGTTGGTCCTCTGTTTGCTTGTCATGTTTAAATGAAGCCTCAGATTCTGGACCTGGCAACCATAGGGGTTGCTGCGTGTGGAGACGAGCTGTCCCTGTTGCTCTGTTTCATCTTGGTGGGGGTATTACTTGCTAAATTACTTTGGGGGGGGGGGGAAGGCCAGTAGCTCAGTTCCAGAAAAGTAGATAGGCAAATACAGTAAACATCAAAAGAAGCTCTGTGGCACCACAGACAGTTTTTGTTGTGGCGTACGTTTTTGTGAGACACAGCCCCAAATCTGTTCATCTTTGAAGTTCTCTCTTGTTCTTGTGTTTTGTTTTACCCAAGGCATTTTCCATCTCATTTCCTGTCACCTGGCTATTGTTCTCCTTTCCTCTTCCTCCAGGTGGGCTCTGTGGAGGAGTTCCAGGGCCAGGAGCGGCGTGTTTTGCTCATTTCCACAGTGCGCAGCCGAAGTGAATACTTTCAAATGGATAAAGATTTCAACCTAGGATTCTTGAGGAATCCCAAGGTACAATCCGACATACATTCCTCTTCAGTCTCCCCCCCCCCTTTGCCTTTGGGGACCCAGGGCATGTCCAGAGCATCAGTGACATCCCGTTCTTCAGTAATTTGAGTCATACTTCATTGCCTGACTTGGCCATATGGAGTATGGCTGCAGAGTACCTTTCTGTCTGCCTTATCTAGAGTTAAACCGGAATCTTGGAGAGGGCCTCAGAAAACAGCATGCCAAGCTCTCATCCCATCCTCTGGCATCACAGTCCTGATGCCCAGAAATCTGTTGGCAAGTCTCCCATGTTCCTTGTGGGTTGAGGCAGCATACATGACAGTGGGGGGCCCTATCCTGAACACATACTTGTACCTTCTGACCCCCTGAATTAAAGGGCACCACAGGCAGTAGCAGAATTAACCGTGACAGGAATTGTTGCAGCTGAACAAGCAAATAAGCTTTCTGCATTGTTCCCTTCAGAGCTGCAGAGTGCCAGACAACCCCTCTCCCCAGTTCTTTTCCTTCCTAGTGCCACCATAGACTTGGCAGAGAACCAATGTGAATTAAAGCCTCCATGGCCTGGACTGCCAGGATCTTTCATGTGCATGGAGGGTTAACATGGCTCTCCTCCTTAAGGTGCCTTGGTTCCATTTCGAGGGCTTTTGACTATTCTGCTGGTCAGACCTCCATTTGTGGTGGTTTCACGCTAAGGAGGGACAGCTGCTTTCAAAGCGCCAAGGTTTCCCTTTCCAATAGGCCAAGGCTGTTGATGTTCTCTCGCATTCTCTTTTTATGTTCAGCGCTTCAATGTGGCTGTGACAAGATCCAAAGCACTCTTAATTGTCATAGGCAATCCAGCTACTCTCAAGCAGGATCCGATCTGGGGCGAGTAAGTATTTCCCTCCAGCATTATTTATTTGCATGCTTTAAAATTTATGGATTGTGCTATCAAGGCAATTTGTCGTATGAACTGAGTAAGACCACCCCCCCCTTCCTTACTCCCAAATTAAAATACACCCGCCTAAAGTCCCCCAATTTCTCACTCCCTTGCCTGTTCCCTCCCCACCTGGCAATTTCAGTTCCTCCCTCCCTCCCTATACTGGCAGGCCCAGGTACCTCTGGGTGAGATGAGCTACAGATTCCCCATTCTGTTAAACGTCTGTATGAAACCCATTTATTTATTTATTTATTATTTAGGCTTATATACCGCTCTGACCCGAAGGTCTTAGAGCGGTTTACAGGCAGGGTGCAAGTGCACATTATAATCCCTATCTACGGCCACAGCTATCGTATAGGGGTGGGAATTCCCTACCGGCACCCAAGTGGTGGGTTAGCTGCGCTGTTTCTGGCTCCGGCTTCGGTTTTCTCCGGTGGTCCAGTTTGTTCAGCATTTCTCCTGGTGTCAGGCAGGTCTTCTTAGTACGGAGGCTTCTTTTGGCGCGCGGTCCGCATCAGTTCCGGCTCGGCTGCGTCCTCATTCGGCTCCGCCGAGCCTGCGCCTTACATCATGACTGAAAGGAAAGTCCCTTCAGTGTATGCATATGAAATTACATTCAGATGTGCTCCTCTTCAATTGTGGCAAGTGAGTTAATTGTCTTAGTTATTGTCTGGAGGCAGTAATGGGCTCTATGAAGAATGGGTACTTAGGCAGGTACCTGTCTGTTTTCCCAGTGGGGCGAATAGCTCTTCAGGGCCATTTCAGAGTCAGGCCCCCACATGCATGATTTTAAAAGGAGAGGGGGGGAATCCTTGGAATTCCTAGCAATGCATGTATTTCAGCCCTGAGAGAAATGTATGGTTGGTGGCTAACAAGGCCTGTCAGGGTTTGCAGAGTCAGCCCGATATGGATGGTGTCGCCTTCTCCCTTCAAGTTGTTAGTTTGCAGGTTGCTTGTAGATCTGGCCATTCAGATGCAAGAACAGCAGATGTAGCTAAAAGAGGTGAGCAGTGACTCATGAAAGCTCCTACCCTACCACAAATTTTGTTAGTCTTTAAGGTGCTACTGGACTCTTTTCTAAACTTGACATAGTTAAGTCCTCAACCTGTCTTAATCTGGCCTTGCATTTACCACCTGTAACTAGCTTCTGCTGGTTTGCCAGCTGTGATAGATTTGTCTGTAGTTACCCACATACTCATTAAGGCCCAGTTAAGTTACTGCAACACACTCTGTGTGGTGGTGCCATGTAGCTTACACGTTGCAGTGGTTTTAAAAGATCTGTGTTGGCTTGCAGTTTATTTCCAGGCACAATTCAAAGTGCTGGTTATTGCCCATAAAGCCTTTGGGTCTTCACCAAGGATACTTGAAGGACTGTCTTCTTCCATATATACCTGTCTCCAAATTATAACCTTCACTGGAGGCCCTGCACTATGTGCCAGACAATGGCACACCAGAGAATTTTGCTCTACATCCAGGGCTAATTCTCTGCCCTAGTCACTGAGAATTGATGACGTGCTGGCAGTGCCACTGAGGCCAGCAGCATGGAAGCAGGCAGATATTATGACTTAGGTGCATCATAGCCTCTCAGGATCACACATGGAATTCACTGCCACAGGACGTGGTGGCAGCTACAAGCGGGAATTAGGTAAGCATATGGAGCAGAGGTCCATCAGCCACAAGGTATAGATAGGAACTCTCAGACTGGGGCAAGGGATGCACTGTATTCTTGGTGCTTGGGGGGGCACAGTGGGAGGGCTTCTAGTGTCCTGGCCCCACTGCTGGACCACCTGATGGCACCTGGTATTTTTGGCCACTGTGTGACAGAGTTTTGGACTAGATGGGCCATTGGCCTGATACAACACTGGCTTTTCTTATGTTCTTATGTTCACCCCCACACACACACTCACACCTGGGTCAGAGTAGCAGCATTGCTGGGTCTGTTCCCATTGTGTTTACCGAAGTACAACCCTTGTCTTACTCCCTTTTAGTGGCACACCAGCATCTTCACAGATGTGTTTTCAGCTCTTGGGCTGAAAAGGTTACCCATTCCTGTTCTAAGACATTAGATGAAGACATGTTTATTTTCTAAAGTCTTTATATAATCTGCCACATGGGAGCTTTATAGCAGCTGTACAATTTTTTGTGAACAATTTTTTTGTAGTGCCCTGCTTAGACTGTCTGAATCTGTTGTTGATCGCTGCTATGTTAGTTGCCTTGAATTTCTTAAAAAATGGAGTGTGTGTGTTTGCTAGCTGATGATCTATAGCTGGAGCTTTATTCCTTGCCAAATATTTTATATGCCCTTTTTACTGATTTCTTAGTTTTGCTCTTTCTTACCTTACAGCCTATACTCTCGTTTTCCAGTTCATATTTGATTTTTCAAAATATTTCTGCCTAAAGATACTGTTTATGTTCATCTTTTTAATCTTATTGTTATGAAATTATGTTGTAAGATACCTTGGAGAGGGGTTTTTTTAATGTGTAAAGTGCAGAACGAAAATACTTTCAATGAACTCTGGAGCAAAGACCCAGTTACCAGAAACTCTGAGCTGAATCCTAACTAGTTTCATTCCAATCTTCCTTTTCAAGTTGAAAAGGGTGTTGTTCCTTGGTCCTTGTTAACCATGCAACAGTTCTGTCCACTTTCAGTCTCTCACTCCCTTGGCTCAGGATGTTAGTATTTAAACAACAGTTTTTGTTTGTGCTTCCAGGTTTCTCAAGTACTGCAGGGATAATGGTGCATACCGAGGATACCCATATGAGGGAGAAGAGAATGAGGAGGATGAAATTCTGGCAGCAGAGCTTAATTCCCTCGACCTGAACAGGCAGCCGGCAGGTAAGAGCCTACAATGACTCTGAGACATGGTTTGGACCCCAGTCATCTCTTTGGTGTATAATGATTTTCACTGTAGGGGGAGTGCGTGAGAAGACATAAGAGCAGGGCTATTTTTGGGCAGGAACGCACAGGAACGGAGTTCCGGCTGGCTCCCAAGTTGGCCACGCCCAACAGCAGAAACTCATTAGGATTGGCTACATTAGGGGTGTGTGGTCTAACATGCAAAGGAGTTCCTGCTACAAAAAAGGCCCTGGGTTTTGACAACAAACAAGGTAAACAGAATAACAAGCAAAAGGTGGGTGTGGCTGGATAACCACACTTCTGGTAACATGGGGGTGCGGCCTAATGTGCTAATGAGCTGTGCTGTCAGGGGTGTGGCCTAATATGCCAATGAGTTTCTGCTGTTGGGTTGTGGCCTATTATGCTAATGAGTTCCTGCTGGGCTTTTTCTACAAAAAAGAGCCCTGCATAAGAGGCTTGCATGGTCAGACCAAGGGTCCATCTGGTGCAGCACCCATTTTCTACAGTGCCAACCCAACCAGATACCTCCAGAAAGCCCCCCAAAGACCTTGAAGGCAATGCCCTTCACCCATTGTGATCCTGCAGTAATTACTATTTGGAGGTACGCAACATCTCAATGCAAAGGTTGCTCTGCTCTCTTGGCTGATAGCCACTAATGCATCTGACTTCCAGAAGGGGCATTTTCAGAGACGGGGCTCTCTAAGGAGACTGGCCTCTCTGCTCAGGGTAATCCTGTGCTGGGCTCTAATCCATGCATGGGAAAGAGACTTGCAGTTTACCAACCATCTTGCAGACATTTCAACCATACATAGAGTATTTGGAAGAAAATAATTTTTTATGACTGATTACAAACCCTGTTTGTTTTTGTTCCTAAGCAGCTGTATGTGTATGTACTTTCTGAATAGATTTTTGTAGCAGAATCTTCTTGCATACTTGAAGGAATAGGGGTTGCAAAACAGTATTGTGTAAACAGGTTCCAAAGCACTATGCCCGAATGTCACCAAGGGAATAGAGGGTAGGTGCTGGAGTAACAGAATGCTCTGCCAGCATTAACAGTCAGCGTCAGCTCCTCCTCTCCTGTGAAGCCTCCCGTCAGTAAGTCAAACAGTACTTTAGAGTGACAAACAAGTAATTCTTGTCTCTTCATTCTTCCTTCACCTTCCCCCCCCTTCTTATGCAGGCCATAACTTAGCTGAGAGTCACATTCAACAACAAGTAGAGCCCGAATGGAGACGTGAGCACTGAGCTCTGTGCAGCACTGCTGCCCTCTGCATTCCCAAATATCTCACATCTCTTTCTGCTGCTCAGATTGCAATGCAGGTGGCAGTCCAGTTCAAGAAATCATGTTTGAACATTTCACCTCCCGTCTCTCAGGGGCTGAAGCAGGAATCCTGCACACCGATCCCAAATTTCCAAGATGAACATCCTAATTATGCAATGGGAATACTTTGTGTAGTTATCATTGTTAATTCAGTGTAAATCTCTTTTTCTTCAGCTTAGAGAGGGACTCCTCTGGACTTCCTCTCCGATTTTCTAAGTGTTTCAGAAGTGCTGGATTGTCAGGGCAATAGAAATTACAAAGTGGACTGAGGAGTGGTGCTGACTTAGGGCAGGGACTCCACTTCCCCATCCTTCATTAATTTCTCATACTGTGGCTGAAATGATGCATATGCTTTTTTCACTGGATTCCCAGCTGGCGTTTAAAGTTTACCTTGAATTGCATTTAGAAAAAACAAAGCTTATTTCTTGCTTTTTCAAGACAATCTGATTTTATCAACTGTTTTGTACTAAATTTCCATTAAAGTTTACAAAATAAAATGACTATTGTATCATGGAATCACAAGACCACAGTGTGGTTCTGCAGACTTCTTTCGCATCACTCCTTTTGTTGCAAGTAGTGAAAAGGGAATAATGGGGAGAGAACATGATGGCAGAAGGGAGGGATCAGGTATACTTTATCCAGCTTTATCCAACTTTCAAGGAGTGCAGCTCATGCAGCTGAGGTCTTCCAAGGTTGGAGTGGGAGGACATCTTTGATAGTTTAACAGAATTAAGGATGTACATTCAGATAACTAGTAAAAATCGGAACCAAATACACTGTACTCTTTACTAGTTATAAAAACCAATCTGAATTGGGAAGTGTAACAACGGTAAAATAGCATGGGGGAAGGTAATTGATCATCTGGTTGATGTGACAGGTTAGAGCGGGGGGGGGGAGAGAGACAGTCACACTGATATTATCTCTTGCCCCCAAAGAGCATTAACTCCTACAAAAGCTATGCCAGGGAACCTCTCTGTATATAAAGCCAACAGGACACAGGGATGTAGCAATGAGTGGGATAAAATGAACTTGCTCCCTGTCTCTCCTGCCTGGGGAGAGCTGGGGGTAGAGTTCAATCTAAATGAAGAGTTTTCTGAATACTGTCGCCCACGCAGTTAGTTTATTTAAAAAATGCACATGCTTCCTCTCACATCTGCTCAAGGCAGCTGATGAAAGTAAAGCATACATGCAGAAGTTTCCAGGCTCAAACCCTGTCATCTCCAGCTAGAAGGTGATGGGAAATACCTCTGCCTGAGACCCTGGAGAGCCACTGCCAGTCTGAGTAGACAGTACCAACTCTGATGAACCAAGTGTTTGTGTGTTCAAAGCAACTAACCTGTTATATTTACTCATATCTGTTAAAAATTAGCGCTACCAGCAAGAAAAATTTAAGCAACTCTACATTGTTGCTGTTTTAAGCATGGCTATCTTCAGTACATCCTTGATTAACAATGTGGAAAGCAACCATCAGAGTGTGATAGTTTTGGGTTAATCACTGTGTTAACATATATTATGCTACCACACCATAACTTTTCAGCACATACAGGGCTATTTTTGGGGCGGAACGCACTGGAAAGGCGTTCCAGCTGCCTTCCGAGCCCAGGGGGCGGGCACATGCAGCAAGCCCCACCCCCTGCTCCCAGCAGCCCTCAGTCAGGCCATGAGGAGCAAGAGGCAGGGAGGTAAGAGCCCACCTTCCACCCGCCGGCCTTCCCGGGTTCATGCCAAGGCGCTGGGGCCCACGGAAGGCCTGAAGAGTCCGCCCGCTGACCTGCCCATGCCGAGGCACTGGGGCCCGCGGGAGGCCCAAAGAGTCCACTCGCTGGCCTTCCTGTCCGGCGCCTGAAGAGCTTGATGGGGTGAGTGAGGGATCCGCGGGGGGTGGGTGGGAGAGCCCCCCCATCTCTTTACCTTCTTTCCCTCTGTCTCTTTTCCTCCGCCTTCTCTTTCTTTCCCTCCTTTCCTTTCCCCCTTTCTTTCCCTTCCCCCTCTTTCTCTCTCTCTCTCTTCCCCTCTTTCCTTTTCTCTCTTTCTTTCCCTCTTTCCTTCTTTCTTTCTCTCTTGTGGTATCATCAGGGACAGATTGCATAGGAAATGTTATTTTGGATTTATCCTTAAGACCTAGGAAGGTGAGGGTTTTAGATCTTTATAAAATGAACCAGGGATTACTTAAATGTAGAGGTTATGAAAGTTCTGTTTTAGGTAAGTTCAAGTAATGTGAGCATTAAGTGCTTAGTAATGGGGAGGAGGGAGTTTCATAACTGATACATGATGAATAGTTGACCTTTGCTACTGTTACATTATTCAGCCTGCTCATTATATTAGAGAAAATGAAGTTACACTAAGAGAAAGGGTGAATCTATTGTCCTACAAAGTGCTTCCATTATACCACAAGACTGAAATCTCCTGGTTACAGTTTTATATCATGATCAGTAGTGCCCTGAACTCTCTGTTGTAATCTTACATCTACTCTCTATGTCCTGCTAACATCCTGTTTGGATTTATGTAATATACTGTATATGGTACAGACCTTGCAAATGTTTTGGAAGCTTTGGTTGGTGCAACGTGCAGCCATTGGCCTAATGAATGGAGGGCAAACATAAAAAGTCATATATTACTTCTATCTTTGTTTCATTGCATCAGTTGCTTATTAGCTTCTGGTCCCAGTTCAGGTTGCTGTTTCTTACCTTTAAACATTCTAAACATTTGGTACTTTCCTGCTTATTAAGGGTACCTGGAGTGGTTTTAACTCTACATTCTCCCATTGACTGTAGTAAGTTAACATAAGAGTAACCAGTGTTGGATCAGGCCAATGGCCGATCCAGTCCAACACTCTGTCACACAGTGGCCAAAAATACCAGGTGCCATCAGGAGGTCCAACAGTGGGGCCAGGACAATAGAAGCCCTCCCACTGTGCCCCCCCAAGCACCAAGAATACAGAGCATCACTTGTCCCAGACCAAGAGTTCCTATCTATACCTTGTGGCTAATAGGCACTGATGGACCTCTGCTCCATCAGTTCTGAAACGGTGCACAACTTTCATGGTGTGACATTCACCCTATGGAACTCCATTCCCTGGGAAGTAAGATTGCCCCCTTATAATATACTAGGAAAAAGGCCCGTTGTAGAAATAAATACAACGGCCTCTAGAAAGAGGCTCTGGGCGAATGCTCCAGCCTTGGGCACTCAGTGTCAATTTGCTGTGGCGACCTCAGCAGGGTATAATGACACTGAGTTCACCATTTCCCCCAGAGGAACTGATCTCTGCTACCTAAAGAACAGTTGTAATTTTGAGTGATCTCCAGCCCTCACCTGGATAGATGGCTAGCCTATAAAATAAAGAAGGAAAGAGAGAAGCGCACCAACTAAGAAATGATAATAACAAAGAAAAGTACAATACGCAAGACCTAAAAAAGATAGTGGAAAAATTCTATAAGAAGCTATACCAACAGGTTGTAGATAACAGAAGTGAAATTGCAGAATACCTCAAAAACAGAATTCAAAAATTTAATACTCAACTAAACATTAAACGATCCCATAATTTTAAGCGAAATTATGGAGGCATTTAGAAGACAAAAAAGGAAAAAAAAACCCAGGCCCTGATGGAATACCGGCTGAATTTTATCAGACTTTCGAAGAACAGTTATGGACACCATTTAAAGAACTTTCCCAAAGAGTAGGTAAAAACAATAAGATTCCAGAATCTTGGAACCACGCTTTAATAAACACTTATCCCAAAACCAAGTACAGATAAGACTGACATTAAAAATTATAGACCCATATCACTTCTCAATGTTGATTACAAAATATTTGCATCAATAATAGCAGGAAGATTAAAAAAGGTTTTGACACAGATGATCCACCAAGATCAAACCGGATTCCTACCCAAAAGGCAAATGAGAAACAATATAAGAATCATTATGGATGTATTAGAATACTATGAAGAACATCCAGAGAAAGAACTAATGTTAATGTTTCTAGATGCGGAAAAGGCGTTTGACAACCTGTCGTGGGACTTTCTATTAAAAAAACTAGACGCGGCAGAACCTGGCCAAGAATTCTACAATACAATTCAAGCTATATATAAAAAGCAATACGCAAAAGTAATAATAAACGGAGACTTGACGGAAATGATAGAGATCCAGAAAGGAACCAGGCAAGGTTGCCCATTGTCTCCCTTACTTTTTGTTTTTGCAATAGAATCATTAAATGAAGATATAAGAAAAAATAAGCTAATAGAAGGCTTAAAGGTGAAAGGGGAGGAATTTAAATT